TCAACCTTTGGGTTATGAGTCTGACTCTCTAACCATTAGGCCACGACTTCCCCCAATGTAGTGATCTGGCTCACAAGACTCCTTCATAATATTGTGGCAGCCAAGCAGTCATTGGCAAACAAATACAATCATGGAAGATTGTTCAATTAATAAAAATTATATAAATTAGAGGGAGCTTGTCATCTGACAAGGGTTTGAGAGAAACTAGTAGTTACTGTATTATAAACACAAGGAAGACACAAGTAATAAAAGGGGATTTATTAAAAGGATATGCAAGAGTTGCTAACAACTACTTAATGAATACCATTAAGGAAGTAAAATGCATAAGATTGATAAATGCAAGTAATAGAGTTGGATGTTACTACTGTATATCAGTTACATGTTATATTATGGAAAAAATAAATGGTTTCTCTGGATTAATAAAGTGGAGAACCTGAATAATGATTATTTGTTATTGGCATCAGCTATACTAAATCAAATGCAAATAAGATAATCATATACTGACAATGCACACTAATGCCAAGGTCTCTGGAAAGAGGTTTGGTGAGGAGATAATTACATTCTGCTAGGTGACATGATAAGTCAGAGCGGTAATTGTCTTCCACTGGTTTATGTAGAGGCTATTGCTGCACAGCTAATGTTTGTTAATTGCCTTTCTTTAGGTTTGTGCATGTGGTGAGATGGCTAAGCATGTGTCCTTGGCATTTAAAGATTTTCAGGCTTTGTCTATGAGCTCTTGCTGTATGGATTTTGCTTTTAAACGTTTGCGGCCAAGTCTTGGTTATCTTCCCAAAGTTGCTTCAACTCTGTTTTGCTGTCAAGTTGTTGTGCTGCAGTCTTTCCTTCACCCTTTGTGTCGTGGAAGAGCGAGTGATTGCACAAGCTTTGCTCTGTTAGGGTGCTGAATGAAGATTTACAATGACCAATTGTTCATTTGTTTTGGTGGTTGTAACAAAGGTTTTGTGGCTACCAAGCCAAGAATGTTGCATTTTGTGAGAGATACGATTTTAAAGGCCTATGAGGTGTGTGAGGTACTTTTGTGTGCACTCTACAAGAGGTTTTGGCTACAAGAGTGTCTTTGGCAGGTATTTGGGTGACAGCAGGTTAGGCCTCTAAATTATGAACTTTAGCAGGTTTTGTAGTTTTGATATTGACTTGTTTACTCACAGGGTAATAAATTGCTGATCACTTCGTAGTATGGCGTTGTGTTATAGTGTTCGCATAGCATCAGACTGACACAGTGTTGAGTAAACCAACTCAAGGAACCAAAGTTACACACATAAACAAAATGCTTTCAATTATATTAGGAATTTTATGTATGTCATATTAAGTTATGCATATATCAGCTATCCTGCTTTCTACATATTGGTACTTCCCAAAAAATACAAAAACAAAACATATACATTGAGAAATAGCTGTAGCATTTAACTCTACTCACCTTGTAATGTCTTCCATTAACTGGGAGGGGTCCGGTGGATAAAACTTGACAGCAAAATTAAATTGCCAAGAAGATGCTGTAAAAACATACAAAGTGAGAGCAAAAAAAACACAACATGCTTGCAGAGTGATAGACTGATAAACTGATTTTTTTCTCATGGTTGGATAGCATTTAAGTGGCTTTTGCCTGTAGCAAATAAAACCAAAGTTCAGAGCAAGTGAATGTCAGATCAGTACTGAACAAGACAGGGCTGTAAACATAGGCTAATTGTTTGAGTGAATCCGATTTGTGTGATTTTTCTAAATCAAATTTAGAAAGGTCTTAAAAATGTTTGTTATCTTAATTGTTTTGCGGTACTGAAAGTAACTTTACAGTTATGTAAAATCAGTTGGGTTAAATGTATTCTACATATCGGAATAATTAGGCATAATTATTTTAAATTAATGATGTAGATATTTATGTTTTATTGCAAAATGTCTAGGTTACTGTATTACTAAGTAGGAACGAAATGCCATATAATGACACAATGGGAAGATATCAGTGGTCACAAGGTCAGGGCTCTGAATAATCACAGCAATTATTTGGCTGATGGTACTAATACTTTAGCAGAGATGTAAAAGTAAAAAAGGAGATGCACCATATAGCCCTTCTAAGAGTGTGTTGAGTGCAATAACCTTACCTACGCTGCAACAGAGTATAGGCAGCTACACAGCTTCTCATTCCCACTCAGGAAACTAGGCTTACATTGAGTAGGAACTCAATACTGCATAATCACACAATGGGAAAGATATAGCCTCACACATTCAAACCATTTGTAGAAGCTTATTCGTAATACAGGTTATAAAATCTGAAGTATGGGGAGAGGACCAATATCCACCATACAAATGCCCTGTAAATAGGTACCTCTAGCAAGGGCCCATGTAGATGCCAAAATTCAAGCAGAATGCGTCCGAATATCCAGAGATGAAGGCAATCCAGGCGCCTCATAGACCCCAGCAAAATCACATCCAACAACCAATGCGAAAGTCTCAAGTTTCTTGGCAAAAATGTACCTGTCTGGTCAACATTAGCCTAACCTGCCAGAGCTCAGGACAACCCATCTAATAATAAAGTGTCTCATTTTGGGGCCAAACTCCCAGCCTTTTAAAGTTCTGACTAGATGTGACAAATGTGCCCTGGGCTTCAGACAACATGTCCTTCTGATGCAAAATCTCCCACGGTACACTGTCCTGGAGAGATACCAAAGTTCAGACTGCCAATACAGAGCCATCTCTGCAACCATCATTGCCATGCTGTGCTCACTGAGCATGCAATGTGCTTCATGGCCTAAGCGCCAAATTCAATGCCCTACAGAACTCATGAATGGCCTCAGAACCCAATCCAGCACCTTATCCATGAACCTCATCAACCTGCATGACCTCCAGGGTCTGCAGAGCCAATGCTGTGTGACCTGAAGCCACAGTGTGGCAGGCGTAGGTGAAGTCTGCTGCCACCTTGTTTAGTAATTTTAGCTAAATATGACCAGGATCTTGAAACCTTATGGTTGAGATCTGGAGAAAAGGGAAACAGCCTTGCGAGGTGTGGTTGCGCTCTGGTCCAGCAGAAAAAAAAATGTAATCAAAAAGATTTTCTGGCAATTTGAGATGCAGCTTCTAAACTGGGTATGTAATCATATGTTCCTGTGGCTCAGTGGTAGAGCATTGTGTTAGCAGCTCAAAAGGTTGTGGGTTCAATCCCCAGGGAACACACATACTGGTAAAAAATGTATAGCCTGAATGCACTGTAAGTCGCTTTGGATAAAAGCGTCTGCTAAATGCATAAATTAAAATTAAATGAAATGAATCACATTCAGGAAATCTGAGAAAGTTGCAGAAGGAGTAGGGACCCTTCCACTGGGAGGTCCTAGTCACGGCTTTCATTGAGCTGTTCAGACTCCAACACCACAGTAGACATGGCATTTGTTTCTACATCCTCCACCCTGATCCTCCACCTGAGACAGAAAAGCTGGTCAGAAGATGGAGAAAGCGGTAGCTTCAGGTTCCCCATGTGCTCGCTGATGGGCCATGTGGTGCTAGTAGCTGGGTGGCTACCCGTGCACACCCGTGATGTAATCAAGACATACTCAGCAACTCGTACTATGGGCTTCCAGATTCCTCTAAAGTGACCTCTGCATGATCGACCCCCAAATAGGAGACACATGCTGTATGTGTCTTTGCTGACAATAAAGTGCATGGATAAGAGAGACATATTCTAAACATCATTTTGCACTCAAGTTGGGAAATTAAATATGCTTGAATGTGAGTTGGTAGACAAAACAAGCTTAAACTATCATGCACTGATTAAAAAAATCTGAAATGATGGTGCCAAACATTCACTTTTAAGGGCACTGTGATGCAGCACCTTATGAGCAGTGCTTTAGCACCATCAGCCAATTAATTTAGCATGATTTTATAGGGCTTCAGAGCTTGTGACCACTGATGTGTTCTCATTGCTTCATTACGTAGCTTTGGGTTCCTACAAAAGAAAAGAAAATTAACGAATGCAATTCAATTAATTTCTCTTCCTGTCATTTAAATTCAAGCCCAATATAATTTAAATTAAACTCATAAATTAACACAGAGCCAAGTCATACGGAGCCCCACACATGACATGCAGGAAAAAAATGTTAAATTGTGTGCACAATATAATAAATTGTTCCCTCATTTTAATTTCTGCCTCTTCATAATGTGCACCTCCGCTGTGCTGAGTGGCAGCATGTCCAAGTAGCTCTTATCCAGTGTGTGCATTTTTGTTTGTGTTTGTGTGCTTTTTCTTTTCTTATGAGTGATGCAGCAGTCAAGACTGGTGCATATGAGGGATCTTTAGGCGCTGAGAAGTTCAAGATGCGGAGCTAAACATTGCATACTGCAGAAGATTTACCATGGCTGCAGAGCTGGGGCTAAGCTAAAGTAAAAATAGAGAGGCAAGAAGTGGAGATACAAGCCATTTCTGCCATCAATACTCAAAATTGACTGGTTTTATACAGTATATTGACTGTCTCACAAGGGAAAATAAGATATTAAATCTGTTGCATGCAAATGTCAAGGAGGCTTATAGTGCTATAGCCCAACCACCACTTTGGAAATCAGACCATAATCTGGTCTTCCTCCAACCCACATACAAACCTTGTGTAAAGAAATTGCCTGCTACAAATCGTACTTTGAGGAAGTGGACATGGGAGGCCAGTGAGTCACTTAAGGACTATTTTGAATGCACTGAATGGAATGTACTCAAAGAGTCAAAGGAAAACAGTAGGTACACTGATTATATGAATTTTTGTTGGGACACTGCCAGCAAGGACTGTACGCTGTTTTCCTAACAATAAACCTTGGATCACTAACAACATTAAGGTGCTGCTCAATCAGAAAAAGCAGGCATTTAGAGAAGAAGACAGAGAGAAGAAGTGTGTTCAACATGAGCTGAAGAAGAGTCTAAAGCAGGCTAAACTGGAATACAAAAAGAAAGTAGAGAAGAAGCTGCAGCATAATAACATCAGAGAGGCCTGGAGAAGCATGAATATTACTGGCTATAAGAAGAACAGCCAGACAACAGAGGGTGACTTGGACAGGGCCAATGAGTTTAACCTGTTTTACAGCAAGTTTGACGCTTCTGAAGGACCTACTTCTCCTCGCGGTCGCTAACCTTCTACAGCAGCTATAAATCGTCCCACTATTCAATCACCCTCCTTTTAGGAACCACTGTGGATCCTCTACTTCTTGTTCTGTCGGCTCAACTACCTACAAACCTGGCTCCCACTCCCTGACCTTTACAGTAGAAGAGGTGAGGTCAGAGCTTGGAAGGATGTGCCCAGGGAAAGCGGTGGGTCCAGATGGTGTGTGTCTGAGATTGCTTAAGGAATGTGCAGCCCAACTAGCCAAACCTCTTCAGAGGATTTTCAATATCAGCGTACAGACAGGGAAGGTGCCGCTGCTGTGGAAAACAACATGTCTTGTGCCAGTACCTAAAGCAGGGCGCCTGAAGGAGATTAATGATTTCAGACTAGTTGCACTCACTTTGCACATTATGAAAACCATGGAGCGATTACTTCTTCGCTTCTTAAGACCAGTGACTGCAGGAGTTTGGACTGTGTGGAATTGGTAATGTAGAGATGTACGAGGAGAAAATTGCAGGCAATACTGGACAATGCTGAACATCCTCTTTATAACATCTGGATTAGTCAGAGGGGCAGTTGCAGCAGATGACTTATTTCAGGCAAAATGTTGAGGTAATATTTTGGTATGACTTGTTATTCATTTTATTTATCTACTTATTTTTTTACTGGACTTTCAGGGACCATGTGCAATCTATCTATCTATCTATCTATCTATCTATCTATCTATCTATCTATCTATCTACTAATTTGTGCACACAAAATAATAATTCGTTCCCTTGTTTAACTAAATCTTGCACAACATCATAATTTGTTCCCTCATTTTACTGAATCATGCGTAAGACATTACTAAATCATGGGCATGTTTTAGTTGAATCAAATCTAGCGAGCAAATTATTATATTGTGTGCATGTTTTACTTAAAAGGAGGGAATGAGTTAGTAAGTTGTGCACATGATTTAGTAAAACGGGGGAGCAAATTAAGTCGTGCACACAATTAACTTTTTTCCCCTGTATGTCATATGCGGGCCTTTGTATATTCTGATTTTTTTTTTTTTTTTTAAGATTTATTTTTGGCATTTTGCCTTTATAACAACAGGATAGTGTATGACAGGAAGCGAAGTGGGGGAGAGAGAGGGGGGCAGGATTGGGAAAGGTCCTTGAGTCTGGATTCAAACTTGGGATGCCCGAAACGCAATGGCGTTAGTTGTCGGCGCACTGCCCAATAGGCAATCGGTGCCGACAGAATTTTGTGGTTAAACATTTTACATGACAGACCAGTTTACATGACATATCCATTCATATGAGTGATACTCACTTCTCATCTGTTTCTTGATCTCTTTGGACAGGTCCAACCAGTTCTGCAAAACACAACAGAAACAACTAAATCTTAGAGCAAAATTAAGTCCATACTGCCTTATTGTTTAAGAATGTGTTTAAGAATAATTTGGTCTGTTCAAGAATGGTTGGTCTCTGTTTCTCTATATGTCTGAATTGAGAGACAAAATTTGTAGAAGGAGATTAATGCAAATCTCAACATCTGTCTTTCCCACTGTGGCTTTAAGTGTAAATGATATGCTTTGTATTTAGAACATCATGTAAGACCAGAAGAGATCAATGCACATATGTACATCTGCATGATCTTCAGCATAAGGTCGACTGGAACCATAGAAACATATACTAAAGTTACATACTAAAAAAAGTGAGAAAATCACATCCATACAAGTCTGTATTTTAAACAGAGATCTCACAGAGATCTTAATTATTAACCATTATTCTGAGTCCATCGAGGAATTGTGATCAGGGGCCCGTTTCAGAAAGGAGGTTAAGTGAAAACTCTTGAGTATGTAAACCCTGAAATAAGGGAAACTCTGCATTTTCCGTTTCAAAATGGGAGGTTTGTCAAACCCGGGAAAGCAGGGTAAGTCAAGCCCGTTTCTGAAAGCGAGGTAACTAATACTCAGAGTCAGTTACCATGGTAACTTACTCTGTGAACCTAACCTGGTTGGGAGCAGGTTTTCTTCGGTAAACCCAGAGTTTCTTTTCGTCTCCTCCCCCTTTTTAAAGTGTAAGCAATGTTTAAATGCCTTATTCATTCATTCACGCTGCAAAATTGCTTTTCTTACTGAGTATTTTTGTCTTATTTCAAGTACAAATATCTAAAAATTCTTAAGTTAAGATGCATTTTCTATAGATGAAAAATGGTCTAAGATATTTAGTCTTGTTTCCTGGGGGATTTTCCTTTTTAGTGCATTTTACGTGAAACATGTAAAATTGTCCGCCATAGGGTAAGAAAAATAATCTTAATGCAAACGGAAACAAGCATATTTTTAATGTCTTACCCCATTGGCAGATAATTTGCAAAATATGAAAAATGCACTTAAATTAGTTTTTTCCCTTCATGGAAACAAGACTAAATACCTTATGTTATTATAATTTTTTTTTTACACCTGTCAGTCCTGTGTCTCGTGTTCTCCTCCCCCACGTGCTCCATGACCCAGTTTTCCCTCATGTTTAATTATGGTTATTGATCCCAGGTGTTTCTCGTCTTCCCCTTGTCAAGTCCTGTGTATTTATAGTGAGTCCAGTTCTAAGTTTCGTCGTCTGGTATTGAATGTCGTCTCTCCCCGCTACATGTGTGTTCCTTGTTCCATGGATGTCCATTAAAGTCTGCTTGTTTTAAGTTTTCTCCTTGTCTCCTCGTTCCTCGCTCCTCACAGTAGCGATCGTGACAGAAAACCGGACCAATAACAGTAAGCGTTTTTGCCCTTCTCCTCGTTTTTGTTTTCGTGTTGAACGTTTTTTGTTTTCCTTTTTCCCCCCGCGATTATGGAGATCGCGGCTCGATTCATTGCCCTAGCCCGTAGTGATCTCCCCTTCGTTGAGTATGCCTGGGAGTTCTGCGGATGTCTGCGGATGTGCTGAGTTCTCTTTAGATGACGCCACCATCAACTCCCTGTTCTGGCATGGGGCCAATTACCATCGCCCAGTGGACCTCCCAGACACCACGGGACTAAGCTGGAGGGGAGCGATCCTCCGGTGTCTGGAGAGCGTCCGGCCCTGAACCAGAACCTGCCCGCTGGCCTTGGCATTCCCAAGCCTTCCGGCCGCACCTCAGTCTAGGGGTCGGGCCCGAGCCAGAACCAGCCTGCCGGCCACGCCAATGTCAAGCCCGTCGGTCGGTTCACGCTCAAGCCCTCAGCTAACAGCTGCACAATCCTTAACCCCAAATCAAGGAAAGAATTTAAGGAGGAAGCGATTGTTGGCTCGAGCCCATGAGTCCGCTCCAGTGTCGGCTCCAGCCCCTGAGCTCGCTCCAGTGTCGACTCCAGCCCCAGAGCTCACTCCAGTCTCGGCTCCAGCCCCAGAGCTCGCTCCAGTGTCGGCTCCAGCCCCAGAGCCCGCTCCAGTGTGGGATCCAGCCCCCGAATCCAGCCCAAAGAGGGCACCAGTCCCTGAGTCTAGCCCGGAGAGAGCTCCAGTCCCCTAGTTTAGCCCAGAGAGGGCTCCAGTCCCCGAGTTTAGCCCAGAGAGGGCTCCAGTCCCCGAATCTAGCACAGAAAGGGCTCCAGTCCCCAAGTCTAGCACAGAAAGGGCTCCAGTTCCCATGTCCAGCCCTAGGAGGGCTCCAGTCCCCAAATCAAGCCCAGGGAGGGCCACAGTACCCGAGTCAGGCCCACGGAGGGCCTCAGGGGTTGATATTTCCAACAAGTATTTTGGGGGGGGGGTTATAGGGTTCAAGCCGTAGAGGCTGGGGCAGCGGCCTTGGAGGCTGATCCGCCATGGCCTCCTGAATTCCCTGCTCCGCCATGGCCTCCCGACTCCCCTGCACTGCCATGGCCTCCTGGACTGTCTGCTCCTCCATGGCTCCCCGAGCTCCCTGTTCCGCCGCGGTTCTCCCCCTTTTTGCGAGCCTCTGCCTCAGAGGTAGTAGTTAATAGTAGTCAGTAGTTAATTTTATAAATGTAACAGGTTGGATTAGAGAATATTTAATTATGTGAAAAGAGTGTTAGACTATGTGGAAAAAGCTGCAACGCACTGAAATAGACATTGAATGATATTTAATGCCAAATGTTTGTAAAGTCATTCAGCCTACATCCATGAACCTTTCATGCTTAAAGCTTTACCTTGATTGAATTGTGTTTTTATGCTTCATTTTATAGCTGCTGCCATGTTCTTGTTTATTTTTTTCTGTCTTTTTCCCTTTTTTTGCCATGGGATACATTTCAAATGAATATTAGTTCAATAATTTACAGTTTTCACCGTTGATATTATAACAGTTATTAAAGGAGTAGTTCACTTCCAGAATGTAAATTCTGTCATCATTTACTCAACCTCCACTTGTTCCAAACCTGTATGAGTTTCTTTCTTCTGTTGAACACAAATAAAGATATTTTGAAAAATGTTGGTATCCGAACAGTTGATGAGCACAATTGACTTCCATAGTATTCTTTTCCTACTATGGAAGTCAATGGTGCTCATCAACTGTTCGGATACCAACATTTTTCAAAATATCTTCGTGTTCAACAGAAGAAAGAAACTCATACAGGTTTGGAACAAGTTGAGGGTGAGTAAATGATGACAGAACTTTCATTCTGGAAGTGAACTACTCCTTTAAGTTAGAAACAGTTATTAAGAATTAAAGTTACGCATTGACTCGGTAGCACGCGGACGTCTTTTTGTCGGGTGCTGTTGCCACGGTGAATCGTCCCTTGGAGCCAATCCCTCATTGATGTATTTTCTATCATTTGTTCAGATTTGCATGTATAGAAAAAGCTGTTTTGAACCACTGAATATTTTCTTTCATTTTTAATGTCTAATGTTAAGTCTACACCTTACACAAAAGTCTGGGGATAGTTAAAATTCCTTATTATTGCAGGTTTGCATAGAGTTTAGTGTTTCAATTCCTTGTGTGATATGATGAGGAACACAAACCTGTCTTTATTGTTATTATTATTTTTATTACTACTACTACTACATTTACATTTAGTCATTTAGCAGACGCATTTACCCAAAGTGACTTACAAATGAGGACAATAGAAGCTATCAAAACCAACAAAAGAGCAATAATATGTAAGTGCTGTGACAAGTCTTGGTTAGTCTAACACAGTACACATAGCACCACATAAGGGTTTTTAAATTTTTTTTTAATTTTTTTATGATAAAAAGAAAAGAGAACGCTAGTGTTAGAGGGTCATTTTTTAAAATAAATATAAAGAAAACAAGTCAAGAGAATAGAAAAAGAGTAGATAATGCTAGTGTTAGAGGGTCATTTTTTATTATAAATAAAAAGAAAGCAAGTAGATGGAATAGAAAAAGAAAAGAGAACGCTGGTGTTAGAGGGTACATTTTTTTAATTAAAAAGGAAACAAGTAGTAGAATAGAAATAGAATAGAGGGTGCTCTGGGGGCTTCTAGGGACAGGCTTACACGGACGGAAGGCCTCCAGGGTGGTACCCGTTCCGGGACCCATGGCGGATCAGGCAGTTCAGGGAGCCATGGCGGAGCAGGCAGCTCGGGGAGCCATGGCGGAGCAGGCAGACTAGGGAACCATGGTGGAGCAGGCAGACTAGGGAGCCATGGCGGAGCAGGCAGACTAGGGAGCCATGGTGGAGCAGGCAGTTCAGGGGGCCATGGCGGAGCGGACTCCGAGGCCTATAGCCACCCCAAAAAACAAATTCCTTGGCGGAAATTTCGGGTTCTGAGGCCCTCTCTGGGCTTAACTTGGGAACAGGAGCCCCCTCTGGAATGGACGTGGGAACCACAGCCCTCTCTGGGCTGGACGTGGGAACAGGAGCCCACTCTGGGCTTAACTTGGGAACAGGATCCCTCTCTGGGCTTAACTTGGGAACAGGAGCACACTCTGGGCTGAACTTGGGAACAGGAGCCCACTCTGGGCTTAACTTGGGAACAGGAGCCCACTCTGGGCTGAACTTGGGAACAGGAGCCCACTCTGGGCTGAACTTGGGAACAGGACCCCTCTTTGGGCTGGACGTGGGAACTGGAGCCCACACTGGAGCAAGCTCAGGGGCTGGAGCCGACACTTGAGCGGACTCGGGGGATGGAGCCGACACTGGAGCTGACTCAGGGGCTCGAGCTAACAGTCTTTTCCTCCTCAGATTCCTCCATTGGTTTGAGTTGAGGGAGACAGCTGCTGTCAGCTGAGGGCTTGGGAGTGAATCGGCCGGCAGGCTTGAAAGTGGAGCGGCTAACGGACTTGATGATGGAGCGGCCGGCGGGCTTGAGAGTGCAGCAGCTGGCAGGCTTGACAACGGAGCGGTTCTGGATCGGGGCCGGACGCTCTCCAGGCACCGGAGGATCCCTTCCCTCCAGCCCAGTCCCGTGGTGTCTGGGAGGTCAACGGGGAGATGGTAGTTGGCCCCGATCCAGAACAAAGAATTCAGTGTGGCATCGTCCAATGCCGTTAAGACGGCGAGCCCACAGAATTCCCTGGCATACTCCACAAAAGGAAGGTCCTTACGGGTTAAGGCAGCGAATCTTGCGGCGGTTTCCATACCCACAGGGAACGGAAAAAGAAAAACTTTCAAAAACGGAAACCAAAACGGGGAGAAGGGGCACCGCTTACTGTATGTGGGTTTGTCTGGTGTTCTTTCACAACCCTTTAGAGCACGGAATGAGGAGACGAGGAGACGCAGGTGTAAACCCAAACAGACAGACTTTAATAAACAAAAAGGCAGGGACCATTGGGATCGGAGGAGACATTGAATGACGTAAGTAACCAAGGAACAGAACACTCTTTAAATACATGACTAAACGAGAGACTCAACGAGAAACACCTGAAATCAATAAACATAATCAACAAGGGAGAAACTGGGTCACGGAGCACATTGGGAGCAAAACGCAACACAGGAACACAGGGGCAGTCCAAGGGCGTGCCAGTTAGAGGGTCAAAATAAATAAAAAGTAAACAAGTAGATGGAATAGAAAAAGAAAAGAGAACGCTAGTGTTAGAGGGTTCTTGTTTAGGATGGCACTACAGTGCATCATTCACTTGCAGTACGCAGTTATTATATTAAGTTACGACTTAAGTCAAGTCCTCCGTAGCAGACAAGAGCTGCTCAGAGCTTCTGCAACTCCAAGTGCGGTCCACATATATGTGCGACACTCTTACGGAACACAGCAACACCAAGGCTAGATCTGCCACCTCCGAGGGCAGTGCTTGCAGGTTCACCTCGCGAAAAGGCGTGATGGGAACCTTGGGCACGTATCCAGGCCGGGGTCTCAGGACAACGTGAGAGTAGGCCGGCCCAAACACAAGGCACTCTTCGCTCACCGAAAAGGCTTGGAGGTCCCCGACCCTCTTGATGGAAGTGAACGCGGTCAGGAGCACTGTCTTAGCAGACAGGAATTTAAGCTTAACTGAATCCAGCAGCTCAATGCGCTAGAAAAGCGTTTAAAGAAAATGTTGCATTTTGTTGCGTTCTTCTGACCTCATTTGATTACCTGTATATAGTTTGCATCAGGTGTATTCTGAGATCTGAGGTCTTTTTTATATCGCTGTATTAGTTCACTGAGGCGCGTTTAGCATTTTTCATGTTAAGCCCAATTTATACTTCTGCGTCGAACCTACACCGTAGCTACGCCAACGTGTAGCACGCACAAATGTAAAAATGTAAAGGCGTGTCAATTCTACGTGGACCGCAAGAGCTGTGATTGGTCTGCTAGAACCCCTCCCCCTCCCTCCGTATGTATTTCAGTTTTGTGTTTTTTGCATTTTAATATACTTTAATGTTACACCTTCTTATTTAAAATAAAACAAAGCAAAGAAAAAGTGTCTTATCATTTATTATACAACATACATCACTTAGTTGTCCACGACAAACAATGTTGTTCTGCCATTGTACAATTCCTTGTGGAGACTGAAAGAATGCCATCTTCTCCTGTTCAGTTGTCATCTCCTTTTTGTAGTTTTAAATACATTATCTGTTCTTGGATATTTATTTACCGCCGTCACTGCTGATGCTTCTCCGTCAAGCTGCTTCTTCTTTGGCTTTTGCCTTGATAATAGGGGTTACACCAGAAACATGCCATGGACACTGCAAACTAGCGGTCTGCATGTGTAACTGCATGTCGACGCGGACAACGACACAGAAGTATAAATGAAAACTGACACATAGCCTGCGGTGTAGAGGCAGTAAGTATAAATCAGTATAAATTAGTATAAATCAGCCTTTAGGCAATGTTAGGGAACGCTGGAGTGTGACGTATGAGGGAAACCCCAATATTACAGCCCAGTGTCACACAAGCCATAGTTAAGGAAACTAAGCAACTGAATACAATATATGTCTCCTCAGATGTAATGTACATCAACGTCGGGTAAAATAGCATTATAATCTCCTTTGCGGTAGAGAAAGCTGCTACACGGGGAAACGAGTAACAGCGAAGATGTTGAATTAAACGTACACACGGGGGAAACCCCTGTATTGCAGCAAAGCATCACACAAGCCATGATACAAAGTTAAGGAAACTAAGCAACCGAAAGCAATATCTTCCTCCGATGTAATGTTAGTTCTGTACATCAGCGTCGGGTAAAATAGCATTATAATCTCCTTTGCGGTAGAGAAAGCTGCTACACGGGGAAACGAGTAACAGCGAAGATGTTGAATTAAACGTACACACAGTCAGCTTTTCCACATATACATACTGGCCCTGATCATCATAACTTCTATGTACCCTTGCTCCATTGCTGCAAATCAGTTTTTTTAAATGAATGACTTCATCCACCTGTTGCTTTGGTCTTCATCAACAGCTGCTTGCACCTCCTGCAGGTGAGCAACTAACAGCAGAAGGAGATCATGCATCGATACTCTACTGCTATTCTTGCGCTTCCCGGATGTGAAATGCTGAAATTTCTGCCGAATTTTAACCACTGAATTTGTGGAAGCGAAAATCTTCCACAAATCGCCTGAAAATCACCATCTTTTTAAACAGACTGAATATTTTGGAAGTGAATTCTGGAAGGTGAATATTAATTATTGAATTTTTAATTCAATGTGTGTGAAATGTTTTGAATTCAAATATTCACAGTTTAAATAAACAATTATGTCAAATTTCAGCCCCTAAAAATGCAAGCCCTGAAAATACAAGGCATTCAAATGCAAGCATTGTTTATGCAGAGCATTATTTTTTTCAGTTAGTGCAATTCAACATGCTTTTTTTTGTTTCAAAGACATTTGTCATTATTTTTCTTCCATAGACTGATGACCGACTGGAGAGTGAGACAAAAAAGTAGCTGCTTGAGTCTTCAGATGTTAGCTTGAATCTTGAATTAAGTTCATTTTCCTTACCTATCTGCAAATTATTATTATTATTATTATTATTATTAATTATATGCTTACATCTCATTTAATTGTGATACAAGTGATCTTGCAGAGATATTATTTGTGAGTCTTCTATTCTGTGGGATAAAACTGAAGCATTTGGAATAGCTCTCTGACCTTTTGGCTGTCAGAATCACTGAAGGTCAAGCCGAAATAGTCCTTTTCCAACAAGTTTAGATGTTCACACACCAGGTCCAGGAGAACCTGCCCCTTACACTGTTTCTGCAAAAATAACAAAACACAAATGTGGAAGGGGTAAAACATACATATAAATGATGCAATTAGCAGACAGTGCAAACAATAAACATTTTTATAATATATTTTGAGACTGGTTTATTTGATCATTTGGTCCTGATCAGAGATTAATTCCACCCTCCTACCCCATCAGTACAAGTTGCTTGTCACATATTATTTTACAAGAATGCATAAGCATTTCTACAATAAATGTACCTGTTGTGACTTAAATTAGATTAATATTAGTCATAAATGCTTAGTATAATGTTTAATTCATTGTTTTCAATAATAAGAACAGAAACAGTTTATATAGTAATTTATTTGGCTCTTCCCCTTTAGGAAACATTACCCATAATGCTGTTCAGATAGAGAGCTCGCTGAGAAGAAGTGAACTGACTGAGTAACGTTGTGTGTGTGCACTGCAAAAGTGAATTCATCCCTGTAAAAAACCTGAAACGCCAATAAATCAGTTCTTTTGTTTTTAATCCAAGTCGTCACGAGTCATTATTGCTTGTTTAGTGAAGAAATCACGACAAAGCGTCTGGTGCCGAAACCCAGGAAACTAGCAAACAACACCCGAAATGGCGGAGCGACTTGAAAGACTACTCAGAAAACAGAGCGCTGTACGCGCTTCCACAGAAGTAGACAAAGAAGATCCAGTCATTTACTGACTACGTGAACTGTTAGCCCTGTTATCTGAAAAAGAGGAAATGCTGCTTGAGTTGGATGTCAGAATCGAGGAAGGGACGGACACCGATGATTTGGAGAATGAAATTGCTGATGTTGAGGATTATAAAGAGCGAGTCATCACCGCGAAATCACACACGCACCGAGTGATACAGAGAAACCGGGAAAGCAGCAGACCGAGCAGCACAGAGCCCTCGCTGATCAGACAAACAGTTAAGTTGCCCAAGTTGATTATTGACAAGTTTAACGGTGAAATCAGTAAATGGCAAGACTTTTGGAATCAGTTTGAAACCGCTATTCACAATGATGCACTGAGCAAAACAGAGAAGTTTAATTACTTAAAGATGTATCTAACTGGCGCTGCTTCTAAGGCAATAGTGGTACTGATGTTAACAGACAGTAATTATGATCACACAATCGAGCTGCTGCAAAATCGGTTCGGAAGAAAGGACCTGCTTATTAACGCACACATGACCAAACTGCTGAATCTCTGCCCAGTAAAGAAATCTAATGACGTCACTGTTCTGAGACAACTTTATGATGAATGTGAAGTACATATCCACAGCTTAGAATCGCTGGGTGTCGCATCAGAGGCGTATTGCAGCTTGTTGTGCCCTGTTCTGCTACAGATGATTCCAGACGACATTACTCTCCAGTACAGCCGTCAGAGAAGAACCAGCGATGAATGGAAAGTCTCAGAAATGATGGAATTCCTGCAGAAAGAGATTCTGAGCAGAGAAAGAACCATGCAGCTGATTAAGTCTCCACTTCTGGAAGTAATTCCAGAGACAGTCAAAGCTATCAGAAACCAGCTAAAGGACAAGACACATAATTTGAAATGAAGCACAGAAAGCACAACATGCCATCAGCTGCAGTACTGCAAACCACCAGTCAAAGAATACAGAACTGCCTTTTCTGTGAGAGTGCAGCACACAAAACAGAACTGTGTCCCGAAACTGATATTGCTGCACGAAAGGACAAACTGATGAAGATGGGACGATGCTTTGTGTGCCTTGGGCCAAAGCACATCGCAAGATTCTATAAGACTAAATTGTGCTGTAATGTATGTGGAGACCGACACCACAGTGCTGTACGTGAGAAAAGAGAGACATGTACATCTGACACTGATGACAACAAGGACAATGTAGTTTGTTCCTTTGCTTCACATTCAGTAAAGATATAGCCCGCTAAACAGAACAACCTAAGCAGAAGGACCTGGTGGATGTAGAAGCATTTGCTGCTTACTGGATGGAGGCAGTCAGAAAAGCTTCATCAGTGAGAACACAGTAAAAGCTTTAAAGTTACCTGTGATCAAGCAAGAAACAGTCACTCTTCATACTTTTGGCTCTGCAGCACCAGTTACAGCAAAGCACAACACAGTGAAATTAAGTCTGCAGAACGTCTGGAAGAAGGGGCAGAAAATTGAAATATAAGCGCTTGAGACACCCCAAGTGTGCACTGCCGTGATGAAGATCCCAGGTGAGCACATCCAAGCAGAGCTGGAACGAAAAGGCTTGCAGTTAGCAGATTACACAGACGATGGCACTTATGATACAGAGTTGTTGATGCTGATTGGTGCCGATTACTACTGGCGTATAGTGTCAGGCCAAGTAGAAAGAATTACAGACGCACTTGTAGCCGTTGAGAGCATCTTTGGATGGTCAGTGCAAGGCCCAGTCAAAATGTCCAGTGTTGCTGATGCAGCCTGCATGCAAGTACAAGTTACTGAAGACACACTGGTTTCACAGCGTCTGAATGCCTTCTGGGAAATAGAGACTCTCGGTATCACCACGAAGCAGACAGACAGTCCTGAGGAAGAGGAGGCTCCTCACAAATTTGAAAAGACAGTCAGTACAAAGACGGAAGATATGAAACTGACAAGTCAGAACAACCAGACAACTATAGAATTGCAAGGAAAAGATTCGAAGGCCTTAAGAGAAAGTTGCAGTCAGATGTAGTTCTGTGTCGCCAATATAATGAAGTTGTGAATGATTACCTTGAGCAGGGCATTGTCGAAGAAGCGGTGGAGGAGGAGTCATCTCCGACCCCTGTGAAATACTACATGCCTCATCATGCTGTTCACTGCGAAGACAAGGTAACAACAAAACTCAGAGTAGTGTTTGATGCCTCATCACATGACAGACTTTCCATTACTTAATGACTGTCTGCTTACTGGTCCTAACCTGAATCCAGATCTGCTCAGTATATTATAAAATTCAGAATGCATGCGATTGAATTTACAGCAGATATCAAAAAGGCTTTCTTGCGGATTTCTCTTGCTAAGAAGGACCGAGATGTGGTGCGTTTCCTCTGGCTCACTGCACCGCCTCATGAAGACATAAGTGAGAAGCAGCGTGTGCTAGGGATGACGAGGGTGGTGTTTGGAGTCTCCCCCAGCCCATTTCTCCTCGCAGCTACAGTGAGAAAAAACTTGAAGAAATATGAAGCCCAACTTTCTGAGGTAGTAAAGATAATAAAGGAATCACTTTATGTCGATGACTTAATCTCAAGTACAAGTGACGTTGAGAATGCTTTCTCCATAACTGCTAATGCCAAACAGATTATGTCCACAGCTGGCATGGACCTTTGCAAATGGACAACAAACTGTCCAGAGTTGAAGGAGAAATGGAAAACAACAATGAATGAACTTGCACCAGAGACAGAGACACCAGGAGCTGTACTGAAGGTGCTAGGCTTGGTGTGTAGGACTGAAGCGGATGATTTCGTCTTTGATCCGACTGCATTGCTGGATGCTGTAGCAAAACTAGAGAACACCAAAAGGAGTGTTCTGAAACTCTCTGCTCGCATATTCGACCCAATAGGCTTTCTAACCCCTTTCACTGTGCGTGTGAAATGCCTTTTTCAAGAGACGTGGATACAAAGTCTCGGCTGGGATGAGGAGCTGCCTACAGATCTTGCACAAGAATGGCAAAGGTGGTGTTCAGAATTTCCACAGATCCACCACATAGTCATCCCCCGCTGGTATGGAATCAAATCTGAACACAAGCACGATGCACAACAACTTCACGTGTTCTGTGACATAAGCGAGAAAGCTTACAGTACAGTTGCATACATGCTATGAGAGGTGGATGATGGAACAAAGACTACATGCCTCGTCGCTTCAAAGTCCAGGATAGCCCCACTGAAGAAGATGTCCCTGCCGCGTCTTGAGTTGATGGGAGCAGTGTTTGGAGCAAGACTAGGGGTGCATCTCAATCAGCTCCCTAGCTCCCAAGCTCGTGAATTAGTAGCTCACGAGTTCGCACTAACATATAATATGATTGAGCAATTGGTAGCATATTTGGCATGTTGTCCAGAGGGAGGGCTCCAAGCTCGGGATAGAGCCTGAACCCAGAGAACTCCCCCGCCCCATCCCAAGAATGGGATGAAATTAGATTAAGAGTGAGGTGTTGGTCCGGGATGCTGGAAAACTGTCGTGGAACAGAGGTAAGTTGGCTGTATATATACGTATTGTGCTTGTTCAGGTGATTAGCTGACGAGCTCCACCTGGGCCAGACTGATTGATTATCTCAACTCAACTCAACTCAACTCAAACTTTATTTATAAAGCACTTTCAACACCACGACTGGAACCAAAGTGCTGTATCTGATCGTGCTCCTCCCGAACCTTGTTAATGAAACATCATATCGTGTACACGAATTCAGTCACTGGTAAGTTCCCTGACTCACTGCACGTTGGGACAGTGATCACTTGAATTCCAGTGACATGATTACATACAATGTCAACAGACAACATAGTAGAACGTTGTAAGGTCCACGCACTTGGCCCAAGGAAGGTATCCAGTAGTGGCTGAAGGTTTCTTGTGTGTTCAGTGTTTTCAGCGCGCAAAGTTATTCAATTTAAATTCAATTCTAATCTGACTCCATTTTATTATGACCTCACATTTGAGTTAAAATGTAAATTATTATTGATCATTTATAGGATAATTTATCTAGACATCTGATTATTCTATTTATTATTTAATATTATTGTACTCGTTCATTCGGGTGCTCATGTCACTCAAAGATATCGCTTCGGCCGTTAGCATATCTTACGGTCACATTCTCGTCAGTTTTGGTTATTAGACAGAGGTAATTGGTTAATACTTTAGAAGGCCGCTCCTATGCTTGCTCATTCTAAAAGTAGGGTAAACGTAACTATTAAGCTCACCAAAATCTACATTGAGACATTTTTAGTGCACAAGATATTGGTTTCAGTACAAAAAGTTATGTTAAAATAAAATATGAATCTCTCACACAAAAATATTTTATTTTAAATGACAAAAGCATTTTGATTAAGAT